CGGTTCGTACACGCTGATAGCAGCGCCTTCCATCGCGCTCACTGCATCTACGATCTCTTCTACCACGGCGACGGTCTCCACCACCTCTGCAGCGACGGATCCGACCTCCACCGACACAGCCTCCACGACGGGTTCGAACGCGTCCGGCACCCTTGATACCTGCAAGAGCTCGTCTCCTTCCGCGCCCATTTCCGGCTCTGTCTCGACAGCACCTATCGTTTCTTCAATTACACCCGTAGGTTTCGCCACAGTCCCCGTCAGTGTCGTCGCTACCGCCAGTGCTACCGTAGCCGCCACCGTCGCAGCCACCATCCGCCGCCCAAGGGGCCATCACCTCCCACAAGAACGACGGAGTCTTTCGCCACGTCGGAATTTTTTCTGTTGTGTCTTTTTTCTGTCAGTCCGGATGCAATCCGGATAACTGCTGTTATCAACTGCCATCCACTTCAGACAGTTGCCTATCTGGAGGGACGGGCCAGGGACGAGATGGTGACGCAGCAAGGGACGGCATCCCTCGTCCACTTCCGATAATGACTGCTGTGCACTTTTTATGTATGGTCGGCACAGTACTTCACCCCGTTTTTGCGGGAGGGACCAAATAGGATTTTAAATAAACTTGATTTTTGCATACCGGTACAAGTGATGGTTCATTTGCATTCAGGCCGGAAGTTTACCAAGGGCGCGAAAACGGGGTGCTGTACTGTAGTCAATAGTATTGACTGTCAATAATATTTGTCGGACCGAAAACTTTTTAAAATTAGCATTTTTAGGAAACACTGCCGATTGAGTAGTCAAAAGGTTTGCCCTGGTTGAGCTTACAGCAATGGGCCGACAATGCAGGAAAAATGTGTTTTGAGTCTTGAGTTTACCAATAATAATTTTAATCTAAAGTGCTGTCGTAAATGTTTGGGCAATATTTTTATTTATTTTTACTAATATCTCGGATATTGTCACTACTATTTTCATTTAAAATGCTTTCTGCACTATTGCCCTGGAATACATTTATGTGTAATTGTGATGAGACTGGGGATGACGTTAATTGTAGTTCCTGCGACTACTGAAGATCGATGGTTGAAGTGATCATTCTTGAGCGATCTGCTTGTGCATCGATCACAGCTATTCATTAAGTGCTATTAAAAACTCGACGCTAACATTACAGTACAGTAACAGCTCAGCAAATTGGCGAGTTGTGCGGGTGTCAGTCGCAGGAGGGAATCGTGGTGACTGGATTGTCGTAGACGGGGAGGGGTACAAAAATGAGAGAGTACATGTACTGTACCATTCCGGATATCTTCTCTTCGTACTGTACAGTGTAAATAGTTTGAAGGCTTTGAACCTATTTGCACGAAGAGCACATCCTCAAGAAATGCTGTACAGTTGACCATCACAATCTTTGACTCAGAGTTTGAGGGACGTCTCCAGTAAATCAGTCCTCAATCGCTTGTTGATCCGAGTTGAGGCAGCCGCATCAAGATGAGCTGGCCTCTATTAATAAGCTGTAGCAATTTCAAAATGCTAATGTGCAAAAGCAACTGTTACTCGTACAGCTTTATTTAGAGCTGGCAGATTAGAGCTCATTCGTTCATACAGAGTATGTGTAACAGTACCATTCTAGAATTCTGGAACGCTGTAGTACAATTCTGGAATGGAGTTTACACATGTGGATAGAAAACATCTGATGATTTGATCGCTATATATTTTCATAGTTTGCATGCGAAGAGATAGTAGCCATTATTCGCCCTATCTGTTTGCTGAGATAATGCAAGACGTAAAATGCAGTTCCTCGGTCATTTCCGAATTTTCTATCTACAATATTAGGTTACTATGGTACGCTCCCAAGACCGCCAAGACTGCACCGCTGAGACGCTCAACGAGGCCGACTTTCGTGCCTCCACTGCCGAGTTATTTGAGCGGGAGGAACGTCGCAAGGCAAAGGTCGCTCAAATCGTCGTACACAGCCGCAGAGACGACAATGACGAAGGGGACAACTCCGGCGTGGGAACTTTGCCGTCCGTCTTTGACTTCTGCTTACAAGCTGAAGGTCCCGATGGGGTGCTCAAGCTCACCAACTTTGCGCCAGAGGAGTTCGACCATGTTTGGGCAGCTGTGTACCCTCATTTGCAGAGGAAGTGGAACGTGGGCCGCGGTAAAAAATGCCGCTACGCTGCGCGCGACGTTTTCTTTATGACGCTGAGTTCGCTCAAACATCTTGGAAAATGGGACACCGTTGCTCGAGGTTTCAGAATCTCGCCATCCACCTTTCAGAAAATGATCCGCAAGTTTATGGATATACTGTCTCCTATTCTCTACGAAATGTACGTAGAGAAAGCATGACCAGTGGACACTGGGGAAGATTGTACGATCAGGGCATGCGTTTAAGTACTTCTCGTATGCTCGATATGCTACGGACGTTACCTTTCAGCATGCTAACAAACCCAGCGGTAACATGAGCGAGAGCTTACGCTATTACAGTGGCAAACACCACTTGTATGGCTACAAAGTGGAGGTGTCGGTGCTGCCGAACGGTGTCGCGATTAATTGCACGGAGCACACCGGTGGGAGCACGCATGACGCTGAGATTTTTCGCAGGAACGCAGCATTTCATTTGCGAGCTCTTCACAAACACTCTAGTGATGCCAATGTGCGAGACGAAGGGAGACTACAAGACAAGTATCCGAAAGAATGGGCGGTGTTAGTCGATAAGGGCTACCAGGGTATGGCGCGTGAGTACCGAGCAATTCACCCCATTAAAAGCGGGCGTCTGCAGCCGCTCTCGCTCGAAGACGCCAGTTTTAACGACGAGCTCGCGCATGACCGTGTCATTGTTGAGAATTTCTTCGGTAGATTAAAGTCTCTGTGGGGAATTTGTTCCGACAAGTTGAAGTTTGACGAGACCGCTTACGACCTATACTTTCGGGCTTGTGTCGCTCTTACAAATGTCAATATTCGATTGAGGCCTCTTCGGAACGATGACGGAGATGACAACACCAAGTATGACACTCGTTTGCGCGAAATTGGAGCAAGTACACTCGAGAAGCAAACAAGAAAGCGGAAGCGCTATCAAGCCAATCGACAGGCAAGGCTTCGTACGGCATACCGTCGGCGGACTAGTCTCTCATGCTCCATTTATATGGGAGCTGAAGAAGACTGTAGCGACGACGATACACAGTTGTGATATTGTCGCCAATAAAAGCAAGATACTGAGTAGTATTTGTGAAGTTAGTACGAGTCAGCGTAATTATTGGAGCATTCGTTCCGATAGACTACCATATTCGCTAAGTGCAGATCAAAGCCAAAAACTACCTTGAATCTAACGAGATACTAATCTAAAATACGAATTTGCTACGAATATGAGAAATTGAACAATATTCAGTTATATTCCAAGTAAGTAATTTTGAGCCCTATTGTACACCGAACATGAATCGCTGGAGTGAGGAAAGTTGCAAGGTCCATAGTTGAAGTATAATTCACTTCGTTTACCCATCGAAAAATGACTTGTCATCACTGTTTGGTGCAATCACTAAGAGTAGAACAGCTACTGTAGTCGGCCGATTCCCACTATCCAACCTCGTGTTCCCTCGAAGGTCCAATCCAACTAAATCAGGATACTTTCGTCACTTACCATGCGTTTCGAGGTGTTCAACTCCTGCCAGTGACCCATTGGCAATGGGTCACAACTTGCCATGGCCTCCGCCACAACTCTCATTTCTCGATTTTCCTTCGTCTGGGCAAGCATTTTTCACCTCTAGCTCTGGAAAATGGGCTCCTACCTTTCCATCGTCAACAACACCGACGACCCGTGGACCTGCAAGATCGGACCTGATGAGGCTGCACTTGAGATCGCTGGCGTTGCCATCTCTGTCGTGGGAACTCTTGCCAGTGCCCTCGGCACAGGCGGCGTTGCTCCTGTGGCCTCCGCTCTCGCCGCGAATGGAGTCGTAAAAGTATTTGGGGTATCAGCAAAGGCCTTAGCTTCATCAGCAGAAGCAATCTCCGAGGCGATTTCAGCCGCTTGTTCCGTCTCGGAGTTCGGCCTTTCCGTTGCGCAAGGCATCAACGACCACCTCGTCACGGACGGCTACGTTAGATCGCTCCCGGTGAGAAGCACCAATGGGGCAAGATGAGCCTCTCGCTCTGGCAGCAGGGAACGTGTGTCCGCACCACCATCGTCGATGAAAAGACCGTGATTACCGACACGCTGTACATGCGCCCGATCTTTAGTGGAGCCACCGACAACTCGAACCTCGACCACGAAATTCAGTTCTGGATCGACAAGTTTGGCCTTGAGACGGAGACTGTGAGTGGCACGCCGGACCAACAGAGTCGCCACCACCATCACCACCACCGTCACCACCACAAAGAAGGAGGCCACCACCACAAAGAAGGAGGCCACCACCACCATCACCACCACAAAGATGGAGAGCAGCAAGATGGTCAGGTTGTTTACTTCTACGGCAACGACACCAACACGTATGACCCGAGCTATAACTATAACTAGGCTGTCTAAGCTGGACCCTAGCAAGCGTTTGCCGACTCGTAGCACACTTGAATCTTTGTCGATCACTTTGGTGACCTCTCTCTCTCTTTAATCCACAAATCAAATTGATTTTTTTAGTTTCTTTTCTATGTCTACCCTTGACTCCTCCTTACTTCAGGTGGGACATGGCACATGTAGTACATGTATCAAGCACTGCTTTCAGACGAGCGATTTCGTCGAAGATCGATGACATCGACTTGCTCTCTATCCTGCATTATTGTGATGCATGACTGACTACATGTAGATTGGTCTTGTCCTAACTTGACGTAAAATCTACGCATTTAGCGATCCTATTCAAGAGATTATTGGGCCACAGTTTCAGAGAGGCAAATGCTAAACGACTTGGTCTCTCGCAAACTCAACAGAAAGCTCAAGACATAGTCTAGAGTCTCTATATCTACCAGGCTTCTTTAAAAAAAATCTAGTGTAAAATCCAAATAGAAGGACCACAACATCAGAGAAATCGACAAACTCAAAAAATCAATTATATTCGCGGCTAAAATCGAGAACATTTTTCCCACCAGCTAATTCGAAATGTGCTACAAACGCTTGCTAGGGTCCAGCTTAGACAGCCTAGTTGTAGTTAAAGATCGCGTCATATGTGTTAGTGCCGTTGACGTAGAAGTAAACGGTCTGTCCATCTTGATGCTCGCCATCTTTGTGGTGGCGATAATGGTGGTGACCTCCTTCTTTGTGGTTGTGACCTTCCTTTTTTGTGTCGTGACGTGGTGAGTGGTGGCGACGCTGCTGGTCCGTCGTGCCACTCACAGTCTCCGTCTCTAAGCCAAACTTGTCGATCCCAGAACTGAATCTCGTGGTCGAGGTTCGAGTTGTCCCGTACCACCGCTGAAGATCGGGCGCATGTACAGCGTGTCGGTAGTGACGGTCTTTTCATCGACGATAGTGGTGCGGACACACGTTCCTTGCTGCCAAAGCGAAAGACTCATCTTACCCCATTGGTGCTTGTCACCCGGAGCGATGCTAACGTATCCGTCCGTGATGAGGTGGTCGTTGATGCCTTGCGCGACTGCAATGCCGAATCCCGAGACGGAGCCGGCGATCGAGACTGCTGAGGTGACACTGGCAGCAGCAGTAGCACCTGCAGCTAAGGCACTCGTTGATACCCCAAATACTGATACGACTCCATTCGCAGCGAGAGCGGAGGCCACAGGAGCAGCAGCGCCAGCCGTGCCGATGACTGTAGCTAGAGTTCCAACGACAGAGATGGCGATACCAGCAATCTTCAGAGCAGCCTCATCAGGTCCGATCTTGCAGGTCCACGGGTCGTCGGTGTTGTTGACGATGGAAAGGTAAGAGCCCATTTTGCAGAGTCAGAGCCTCTGACTCAGAGGTGAAGGTGTTTGCTCAGCAGAAGGAGAAACGATGAATGAGAGTTGTTGGAGAGCAATGGATCGCTGACGATGAATCACGTCAACCTGCTTGTATCGAACACCGTGGTAAGCGAAGAAAGTATCCTGATTTAGCTGGACTTCTGAGGCAATAAAGAGGTGGCGATCGTGAAATGGCGGTCTACCGACGGTAGAAAAGAGTCACTCTACTCTCATTCATTACGGTAGACTAGTCATTTACTGTGCGTAAACGAAGTGTATCATCGTTCGACTTTTGCCTTGCAACTGCGCAGTGCTCTCGCGCCATCGATTACTTCAAGGCTACCCTACATGTATTATTGGCAAATTGCCAATGGCAATACATGTAATAATTTATTGCACGGACCTATCTCACGTAGACAACGCCAGGATTGGCTGCTTCAAAGAGGGGGGGTCACTTTGAATGAATGCAGTACATGTTCAGCGATCGGTGTCAGCTGGGCGTCAACTGGCATATCGGTACGCAGGGCACTGCAGCGAACCACAATTGATGCATATCAAAGTCCATTGTGAAGGTGGGCATGAAGATCATTGATAACCTTTGTTTGGATCGGAAAGCGCTAATCTGCGGTTCATCAGTGAGACGTGACACAGATCCCATTCCAGCGTACACGTGCAAATACATGTACATGTACAATAGGTTCAAGCACTTTCACCTGATTCCTGTCAACAGATACTCTCACTGAGAGTTGCGCCATCGATGGATTTTCCAATTGATAATTGAGTGTTTTGAAAGTACTTGATCGAATACCCCGTCTCTGGCAGCCATTGTTTCCTTCGTTCTACAATACTGTTCGATAAATCATGTTTACTAAATCTGATTGGCAAAAATCAGTCTGGCCGTACGTTGAAGAGCTGTTAAACCATACGACCAGAGAAAGGCACGACGGACATTTTCAGTCAGGATTTGCCGTTCGCCTACCGAAAATCCAGATTTAGATTGTTGAAGCCAATGGCTACCACAATAGCTACACTAGCCATTGACGCTTTCGTCGAGGTCAGCTGCTCAGTTCTTCTAGCTTCCGTCGAAGCTACGGCGCAGCTCGGATCCACCGCACGCGATCACAAGCCTCACAGGCAAGGCTGACAGCTCGATGCTTTCGGAAGCAGGCTATCTCTGCGGAAACCTCGCAGTACGCATGGTAACAAAATGCAGCAGAGGGCACAGAGAAGCAAGCACTGAACGGGTTGTGCGCAAACTGCAGCTAATTTCGCCCGAGTCCAGGATGGAGACCGCGTTGTATCCTTCGACAATTGGTTATCGTCGTCATGGCGGCCATGAATAAGGCCCGTCATGTCCGCCCCAGAGGCGAGAATACTACGCGAACGTTGATTCTAACTGACCCCCAGAACTATCACACAACCACGGATTTTTTGCCATCGATCGAAAAAGTGGCAAGCCGAAGTAGCAATGCTACCGCTGCTCACAGTGGTCTGAAAATGATTGTCGCTGCATGTACATGCACATCGTAGGTAGTCGTAGGTTGCTGTTCACTACAGACAATTCTTTTTGTAGTGATACCGTCGGGAAGCCATCTTGTATCTCTATTCGGAGGAATCAAATCCAAAGCTGTACAACGACGGTGAAATCCGCCATACCCTGCATCACGGCTGCAAAGCTGTACAGCGTGAGCTTGCGTCAAACTCTAATTTGGAGCATGGAGTTCTGAAATTCTACATACCTGCACCCGTCTTTGTGAGTTGCTGGTCCTGTGGACTACCATTGTTGTGAACATGAAAGAGGAGGACACCATCACGGTGAGCTTGTCGTGGTGGCGTCGTGTTTGCATAAAGCCCATCGTAAACGCCAGAGCACGGATTTGGGGCCGGAAGAATTGGTCTCGCTGACCATAAGCCCAAATTAAAATTACCTCTTACCTCCGGATTGATAGCATCGAGTGGTCCTTAAATAATTGAGAATGCTCATTTGGTGAGCAAAAACGCTTGTCTAGAGTATTTTTACTTCCTCTGTCCACAAATATAGTGCCACGTAAAATTTAAATTCAAACATAAGACCAAAAAAAAAAATCCGCGCTACTTTTTCGCGTCTTTTTACAAGTACATGTACCGGCTAAAAACTGAGAAACAACTGCAGAAACTTTTTTTATCTCTTCCTCCATTTGAACAGTTTAAGAGCGGGTTTTCGTCTCGTCCACAACGCACCATTTAGAGCAGCTACAGATTTTAAGCAAGGCATGTGGCCTGATATTTTGCAGCGTACTTAAGTGCGACCTGGCTTATATTTCCGGACAGAGAAAGTTCCAGATTCACAATTTGGGACTATCATTGAAATATTCGAGTATGGCCTAAAATTCTTTTCAATGTTTCTTTTTAAGAAAAATTTAGCTAAAATGTTTTATGTGCGAAAGCAACGCCTTCAAAAATGCAAAACGTGTACTGGGAGTTCTGTTCAGCTTTTCCTGAAGGATCGATACAAACGAACCGAGTCATCAATCGCTTCTCCTATCAAAGAGAATGATGTCTACGTACAATGGGGGGATGTCTTTGGTTCCTCTGCAGTTCCAACCCAGCATTGCCGGATAGCATCATGTCAGCCACGCCACCAAGGTCACCACGTCTGCACAACCGAGCTCACAGCTCCCCGAACCAGCTACGTAGCCGGACACCGACGCCACTGAACACCATCTTGACCCCACAACAGTCGCTAGGTGCAAGAGCGTCACTATCACAAGCAACTGTTGAGGACTCTGTCCCGAAACAACCACGGCGATCTGCATTGCCAGTAGCTCCGACAGCTACTCGGGGTGGTACGCGCCCTGTGGTGACAGAAGTGCCTCTAGGATCCAAACGAGTGGCTACAGCTGCGTCTACAGGTGCTCTACAGCAGATGTAGGAGCGATCGCCCCTCCAGAGGTGGTGCTTTCCACCACTCAAGGCGCTGTAAATCTTCCAACAGCAGATTCTGCTTCACCAGCCATCGTAGCAGCGACGGTACTGGAAGATGCATCTTACACTGGAAAAGAAAAAGTACAAGTAGGTCATGCTCACTTCTATCGCGGCCAATTGTCAAGCAACCATTGCTCAGCGTGACAGCTCGGCTGAGGTCCTCAATGACGTTGTCATTAAGAAGCTCATTCCATGGAATAATGCAGAAGGTCTTGTCTCTATTAAGCAGTCGAGTTATGTGCTAAACCTGCTTAGAACTGACGGGAAATGGTCCGTCGAGACCCATGCTGCTAATGAATGGGATCGAGTCATGCAATTCCGCGCCAAAAAAGTAGTTAAATTAGCTAAAACGAACAGATGTGGAGACAGTGGCTTTATAAGATGCGAGGATATACTGCAGCGCTTGTGATCTACAAATTCGGGCTGCCGATTGTAAACGATCAAGATTGTGACGAGTTTGTTGCAGCCTGCATCCAGCCTGCCGAGACGGGCCGGGCAGCCGCAGCCGCGGAGACCTCGCTGCGAGAAGTTGTGCAAAACCTACAAGAGACATAGGGGGCTACATTTCAAGCATCCGGTGTTGTGTGGCGTATGTGGGCGAATGATCTCACACGGAGCCTGAATCGATCTACGTGGGATACTGTGGTTCTACAGCCGCCACCGGAGTACATTGCAAAGTTACTACGGCATGTTGATTTCTAAGTGGAGGCGCATATAGCAGAGGTTACTCAATCTGCAAACACAGCACTGGAAGTTGTGTTAGGGTCACTTGTGACTACAAAGCGTTGCGTAGGACATGGGAAGCGCACGGACGGCAGCTCCAGAAAACTGAGCGTCGACTGGAAGTACGCAAGAGCATCATCGAGGGATTTCTGCGCGATATAGTGCCACCGTCGCGGCGTGACGTGATCGACCCGTTGCTTAGTATCGAGAGCGTTGAGGACACGGAGCACGCCTAGTAAAAGCTAGTCTTTAGTTTTATGTTTTAGGCTAGGCTTATGATTTAAACTCGCTAAAATCTAGTTCATCTTGGTTGCGTTCGGCAAAGTCGACTTGAACACTACTCTCACTTGATAGCGGACCCATTGGATCAAAGTAGCCTTGAAGCTCCCAGCCGCAGTTCTCGAAGCCATTGCGCATCTTAAACCCTCCGAAGTGCTCGAATGGCTTTGCGACAAATGATGTTAGATCTCTCTCGCTAGATTCTGAGTAGTTCCCGTGAAATAATCGTTTTATACAGCCAAAGAAGAACTCGATCGGGTTGAAAAAACGGGCAGTATGCTGGTAAATAGATCGAGACGACGCCAACGCTTCGTAGGTAGTGGGTAATTTCCGGATGGCGATGGATTATAGCCCCATCCATGATCCAGACGGAATTAGGTCCTGAGTATTGGCGTATTGGACCTCTGTCAGCGTGTACTAAATCTTGACAGCACAGGACGAACTCTAACCGATCAAACGTCCCCTCTGTTTTTAAATAGTCGATCACGCCACCAACGATGAAGTGTGAAATGGCACTTTCTCTGTGCGGAAAAATACGGCCAGGTCGCACTTAAGTACGCTGCAAAATATCAGGCCACAATGTGGCCTGATATACAGATTTTAAGCAAGGCATGTCATGCCTTGCTTAAAATCTGTAGCTGCTCTAAATGGTGCGTTGTGGACGAGACGAAAAACCGTTTTTAAACTGTTCAAATGGAGGAAGAGATAAAAAAAAATTTGCAGTTGTTTCTCAGTTTTGACCGGTACGAGTACATGTACTTGATAATAATTGAGCCCACGATACGAAAAAGTAGCGCGGATTTATTTTTTGGTCTTATGTTTGAATTTTTAATTTTACGTGGCACTATATTTCCGGACAGAGGGCAAGTATCGAGATTTGCGATTTCCACACAAATTCACCACGAATTGTAACCGTTTTTTCTCGGACAGCGTACCCGCGCTTACGAACCATGCCTCGATTATTGAGCGATACCTCATCGAGGAACACAAGGATCTGGTGGCTCCAATCAGTCTGATGAAGCTCTCTCACGAAACGAAAAACGTCTTGCTCTTTGACGTGAATTGCGCGACGCTCTAATAGTTTCCAAGTAAGTTCGAACGAGTGAATAATTTGCCAGACAGAAGTTTTGGAAATTGCAGAGCCGTGTGCGCTTCTAAACACGGCCTGTGCTTCATCGAGAAATGAAAGCGGGTGCTGTTGGTAGAAGTTAAACAACCGCATGCGTGTATTTTCCCTATCGGGTAGTGCTGGTGCGCTCAAACATACCGGTATCGCAGTATTTTTGCAGCAGCCAGTTGCTATTTGTGTGCGCTGATTTGTTTAATACATGAGCTAGGTGGCTTCTGGAGTACCCAAGCCGATGTGGGCACACAAGCAGTGATACACAGTGTTAGCGTGCGTGTGCTGGCGCGTAACCGCTTTCTCCATGTCCAGCGCGCTGCGCACTCCGCACTCCAACGCAAGTCTGAGTCTTAGTAGATCTGACAATCTAATTGAAAATTGCTTAATTGCAGTCAAGGATAGATTTACATCGCGATTTTGACGCCACTTTTGCAGATTTGGTCAGAATTGACAATATATCAGCCGCCTCTATTTCATTACTCGATTACTATTTGGTGATGACAAATATGTAGCAACGTGAGTTTTGCCTCTTTTGATAGGTGACACTGAAGGATAGCACATCTAAAGGAGACAGTGTGTACTAACCCCTTGAGCCCGAAGGATTTCCAGCGCCCTCATTTAGCGAAACCCTTCTACTGCTAGCTTATATCGCAGGGGAAGGGTTACCATACTGCAGCTACTATATTTTAGTATCCTGTATTTAGAAAGCCTCACAAATTCTCAACCCCTAAGATGGTGAAAAAAGGATAGACTGTACAACACAAGATCGATCACCTCAGATATACAAGGTACTGTGGTAAAACGTATTTAGACGTTCAAAACCATGCGAAGTCAGTGCGAAAGCTGGCGCAGCTGAAGACAGATAATATCATAAAAAAAAAGACTTCAACAGCCGCTGCCGAACCGAACAGAATGCATTATACCCAAACTAAGGTATGTAGACTTAATTTAGTTGTGCTCAAACAGTCGTTTCTACCCGTTGACGCTTTCCGGCTCGTCATCTGCAGTCGTGTCATCACTTGCCGATCTCGCTTCAGTAGTGGAAGCGGCCCCAAGTGTGCGCGCCCGTATTGTCTTCTTCGCTATCGACGGAGGCAGGTTGGTTCCATTCCACCACTTTGTATGGCATATATCGGAGCATAAATTCTCCTTACCATCGACTCTGTGCTTGATCTTGTTGCAGAGATACACACGCGACGCTATAGCCGTCTTTGAGGACGTGGGGAGTCTGCAGGACTTACAATAGTAGGACGTCTCACCGCGTTAAGCTCCATTTGCTCTCTTCATCTTAGAACACACCTTACAGGTACGTTGACGACGCTTCCGCCCTTGGCCATTGTTGCCATCCTTCCACTCATCAACCTGAAGGAGCTCGTGTAGAAGCTGTGCAGGATGTCCCTGTTTTCTCGGCTTGGTTGGCGTCTGCTATGTGCAGCGGATTCCATCCCAATCTCTTCATGCAGCTGCACTAACTCCAAGTGTAGTTGTCCGAGAAACTTGATGTGAGGTACTTATCTATTTCCTTCTGCTATTTAAACGATGATTGTATACTATCAAGGCGTTCACGATTGCCAGATCGATGAACCCAAGAAAAAGACCCTGGTAGTACTTATTTTATTTCAGAGAAAATCTATGTCGCATGGAACATACAGGTTAAAAAATGGATATCCGGTAAATACAAGCATAGCAGCTTGCCTTTGAAGACGAATTTGATCATGGACATCAACTCCGCCCATGAACGTCTGGTAATCCTTCAGGATTCTTGGGCACGCTACTTCGGCTTGCTCACCCGACTTCTCTCTCCTTACCACGCGGTCCTGTTGTATGCTACCTCCAGCACTTAGCATATGCACGGGACGGTTGTCCCACCAACAGACAGCTTTCATGCATGGCACGACCGTCGATTCAGTCACAGTGTATAAACCCCGGGGCACAGTCGCCGGTCGCTTCTTTTTCTTCTCCACAATCGCCTTGCAGAAGCCCTTAGGGGTCGTCATGATGGTCCCGATGCTGTAGAAGCCTAGAGCCAGAAGCTGCATCACAAGTGAGGGGGACGTATAAAAGAGATCGGTCACGATTAAACGCTATTCGTCCGACCCATCGCTTCCAAATACCTCGATTAGATTGCGAATAGCCGCAGCCGGTCCGTATTTCGTGTCCGTCGAAGCAACAATTACTCCAGTCTGTTTTTTACCGCAATACACTTCAAACCTGTAGGATACAAGACACCGCGGTTAGTTGCCTGTAGATACAGGATAAGATAACTTAGAACAAAAAAAATACGGGCGTGCCTGCCGGCATGCCCAATACTCACCGAATACAGTACGCCGTCGAAGAGCAGAACAGCATAAATAGCTTGATGCCCCACTTGTGAGGTCTGTCCTTCGTGTAGACTCTCATGCGGCTGAATGACAACCTCAACGGAAGCATCGTCTCATCGAATGCCATAACTAGCGGATGATTGTAACCAAGGTTGAAGCGTTTTTAAATAGAATCGATCACAGGCCGAAGTTTCCATGCGCGGTCACTCGTAGCGCGAGGGTCAGAGTTGCTACTAAAATGTAGGTTTCTGGAGATGAGCATAAATCGATCTCTTGTCATGTAAATCCCGAAGCCACCACGTGGAATAGCTCCTTCATCAGTAGACTTCCAGCGATGTCGCAGCTTCTCCTTGTTCGGCGATATCGTTCTGGTAACCAATAGACCGATAAAAGCGCACAGCTCTCGAGCTGTAATATCTGATGTATTCAGAAGTCTAGCCTTGATTTCATCTCGACTACTTTTGGTATAGTCAGACTGCTTCCTTTCACGCGCCTCTTTCTTCTTGTATTGTTCCTCAACTCTTTTATTCAATTTCTCCATGAAGTATTCGTTTGACGCAGCAGCAATATCCTCCCAGCTGCGGCTGATCGATATAAAAGAAGATGTCCTTCGCCGTAGAAGCAGCTTCAAGCGCTCGAGTCGTTGGGCCATAGCTTCCAACATAAAGCCCCGGGAATTCATTTGCCATAGCGCCACTATCTCGAGCTTCATATGGTTCACCCAAGTATGGGTACGGACTATATGACACAGGTTCCGTCCAGACATCTCGTCGAATAAGACATCGTCAGCTTCCTCGTCGCTATCACTTTCTCCAAGAAGAATGTCTTCGTACGCATTGGCTTCTGCCTCCGAACTTTCACCATCAGACGCGCCGTCGTCGTTCTCAGCGTCAGACACCAATGCGGTAAACGCATCTTAATTCTCTCCAGTTTGTAGAATGTTCACATCTAAAATATATATAGATACAAGATACAAGTTACAATTAATATCATGTTTCATTATCCTGTACATACAAAGTGGCCAACCTGATTATATAGCAGCTATTCCCGAAGACCAGCCTGGGGCAGCTTCAGCTCTTGTATGCAGCTCTTCACGATCACTCTCCTTCGCTTCTGTATTAAGTGCGTAGGCTTTCGCATCTCCTCTCTCCGCTTCACCAGCAAAAGCATCTCTCAAGCTGCGGCGCGGTGGTGGAGAGTATTCCGAGCCCGAGGTGTCAGCAAGGGGTCTTACCGATGGTTGATTTACGTGAGGACTCTCATAACGCAGTGTAGGCGGTACTGACCCGCCTTCATTTGCTGCGCTATCCCTGCCTACTCGCAAATACAAAAATTGGCTAGATACAGGCTACTAAAGTCGACCATCTTGTAAGATACAGGACATACTAAATGAGGGAGAGTCTGCAACGTTCCGCGGTGGTGTGTCGCCTGCAGGCACGTCTACTTCTTCGCCGGCAGCTGACGATACATTGGAAGAGGCTTGTTGCTCAAAAGAAGCTTCAGTACCAGACACCACTGCTAGATACAGTACATCAGCAAAATATAAGCTACACCGGTGACGCAAAGTGTATAATACAGGATATAAGCGCAATTACCGTTACAGCCGCTGCTTTGGGCCGTGTCTTTGATCGGTGGGGTCTGAGACGCCTTCGTTGCTGCCTCTGTGATATATTGACAAGTGGTAGGTTTGCCTCAAAATCGTTCGGTCAATAGTATGAGCTCACCCAAGTCCAAGCGATCCAAATAACGCATAAATTCTTCCTCCGACGAAATAGTCACTTCCTCGCATGTCTTTCTTCGTCTTTCCTGGCTTGAGATAAGTAAAGTCGCTTGAAAGACCTGTTGGCGGTCTCGATCTCCATCCTTCTTTTGTCAGCTCTGCCCAACGCTGCCTGAAACCCGACCACGCGGCGCTTTCTAGAATGAGCGAAATGAGTGGCGGTCAGATTCCAACCGTAACACTTTATTATGGTTCTTTAAGCCCAAACCCTATTTGAAATAAAGTTTGTAAGTAAACATACAAATTTACGTTTATTTTTCTTATCCTGTGCTATACAGGGTAAGCATTTTTTTGGGCTCAAGCCTTGAGTCAAGGGACTAATAGTCCTTGACCAGCAAAGACTTTGGTGGGCAACGAGAGCATAATCGGATGGTAAGGTGATCATAAATCGTGCTAAAATGGATTCTAATGCAAGGCAAGTAAAACGCAAAATGCTATTGTCCATCTAGAACGCAGTATCGCCCACTAGACTCTTGCTGTGACAACAAGAGTACGACATCGAATTCACGGTATTTTAAGCGGGTTGCAAGAATCCCCCATGCTACACATATTCTACTGCTTACAATTTCACTTGAGGCTTCAATTTAAGCCCGTATTTAGCAGATTTTGTGTTGAAGCTTCATCTGTTTTTTTTAATAATGAGATGAATGTTGTTAAATGCTTCTGCCAATTCCATCATCCTTCGCAAAGATCTAAAAACCCTTTTATTAAAAAGCTTTCGGCCTTGACTTGAGCGAAACGAGTGCTGTGCATGTATTAATAGTAGGGATAATAATACGCCGACAAAGACCAGCCACATTAACTGTGATTGTGTGCTTCTCAGTATCTGGCTGTCTTCTGAATGAATAAAAGCACGTCGATTCGTTACCTAAATCATCACATCGGTCGAATCACTGAAAATACATGTACTTCACAAGCTGTATCGATTCCCGCTGATTCTACAGTTTTGAACTCTCCTCACGTTGCAATATAAAAAATCTAAAGACGTGACAACTCACTCGCTAATGATGTGACATAAGGCGCATTTACAAGTACTGTGTGCGCCGTGTACCGGTACATACGGTATGTACCGGTACACGTTTTTAACGATATAAAGCGTTGAAGTGGGTTGCACATCGTCTTCTTTGATTCCTACTTTGCGGTAATACCGCCGTTTACTACCGAGGGTCTCGACTGATGAATCTTGCAAAAAGAGGCGGATACCTGCACTTGCTCAACGATGAGACTTTGGCGCATCATACAGTGCTACTGAAGCTGTGAGCGATTCATTAACTCACCCGAATCAATTGTGGGGCTGGCAGTCAACACTCCAACGCTCTAAAATAAAATTATCTACGCAAATGGCGCTTTGTTATTTACATTCGAATTGCAACATTTGCACAACAACACCAAGCTTCAATCTCCTCTGCGACATCGTCTACGACTCAGCTACTTTGACCTTCAAGAGTTTCCCCCCTCCTTCACTAAAAGTCACGTGGTTAAGCCCACACATCCACCATAGATTCCATGCATGAAGACGTCCACCAATTTATCATTCGCGTTGGTATACCCCGAATCTGGTCAGCCATGTCAGTCAACGCATCCTCCCACAGAAACAGTTATGCGAGTTAATCAGAGATTAAATGGCCCTATTAAATCGACTAACACCTTACCACGCTCTTGTTAATCTGAGCTGTTCATTTTCAATTTCGCCTTCTATCACTCAAGCTCCAATCTCCGCTCCCCAACAGCCACAAGCTATGGCCATCCAGACGCCAGCTCCAGTGCGTGACTCGGTGGTTCTCACCCCTACCGCCAACGACGACCCGGCGTTTAAATACGACCTGAAAGAAGACGACCCGGAAGACGAGCAAGAGGAGGAGACGTACAAGAAGAAAACTCTACAACAGAAAATCCTGTGGGGTATTTTCTACGCTATCGCATCACTCGCTTCGCTCTACTTCTTCATGGTCGCTGTCAAACTCATCGGCGACGGGTTCACCTTGGCGTTGGGCAGCGACGCCAAAGGAGCCTTCGACTTTGCCAATACCCCTGTTGCCGGACTCATGATCGGCACTATCTCCACTGCTCTACTGCATAGTTCGGGCACGGTGACGTCTATCACTGTCGCTCTAGTCGGTGCCGGAGGAATGACCGTGCGTCAAGGTGTGTACGTCGTCATGGGCGCCAATATCGGCACCTGTGTCACATGCATCATGGTAGCTTTCGGTCAAGTTGGAGACCCCGTCCGCTTCCAACGAGCCATGGCAGCAGCCACCGTACACGACATGTACAACATTTGGTCGGTCATCGTCTTGTTCCCGATCGAAGTGCTCTTCCATCCTCTAGAGAAAATGTCAATCGAGATGTCGAATGCCAAAACGGACAGTGGGGCATTCAAAAGCCCCGTGGACGCCATCGTGAACCCTTTAACGCAAGAAATCTTGGTAGTCGACAAGAACTCTATCTACGACGTCGCTACTGGGGACTTTGAGTGCATGTCGAACACGACGTTCGTCAAGGGCGGCGCTTTCGAAGACTCGAGTATGGGAGACGGCAGTATCGGCGCTATTGTCATCGTGGTGGGGTTCTGTATTCTGGTGTGTGCATTGGTGACGCTAGTCAAGATGCTGGCTAAGGTCTTCTTGGGACCCACCAAGACACTCATCTCCAAGCTTCTTAACTACAACGGATACGTCAACATCTTTGTAGGAACATTGATTACGTTTGCTGTCCATTCGTCTACAGTCGTGACCTCCACATTGACCCCCATGGCTGGTTTGGGTGTGATTACGTTAGAACAAGTCTACCCTTTGGTGATCGGAGCCAACTTGGGAACGACCGGAACGGCGCTACTGGCGTCTTTGGTGACGGGTAAAGCGGACTCGGTGGCGATCGCTCTGGTTCACTTCTGGTTCAACGTGTTCGGCATCTTCTTGTTCTACCCGATCCCGATCACCCGCAAACCGATTCTGGGCTGGGCACGTTCACTGGCGTTTTTCAGTGCCTCGTGGGCTTGGACTGCGGCTTTGTTCCTCATCTTTTTGTTCCTGGTGATCCCTGGAATTCTGCTGGGATTGGTCTACATGTGCACAGCTGACAACAAGGTAGCGGTGGTGTTCGGGTGGATCATCGCTTGTATTGCGTTGCTGTTCTTCTGCGGCTTGCTCTTCTGGTACAAGAAGAAAGGAGGCAAGGAAATCTGGTACGACTTTTTGGAACGCAAGCACATTGCACGTGAACAACGCAAGGCTGCTGAAGCTCAAGAGAAAAAGTCGTTCGTCGGGGAAGACGCTGCGTGAAAGATTGATCTGAAGCCTGGCTTCTTACATTGATGTCTATAAAACCTGATCGTTCCAAGGAGCGTTTTTCTAATCAACGCGATTTCGAGTATCTTTTATCTGCTTTTCCACTTTTTTTGATGCCAGATTATTATCATGGAGGAGCACAAGACGCCTCGGAACAGCGTCTTGTTATCTACCGTGCGCTCCCTCCCACTCCTCGTACCGATAGCCGTCTCTAAAGGTTATAGTCCGGTACGACTTGCCTTCACCTCACTTCTACGTGTGCTGCAGAACTCGTTTCTGTTCATCGCTATCGGATGGCTCTTTGGGTACTGCTTCACGTTGGGGAATATTTTCTCAAAACTCCCTCCGAGTCAACAATCAATTCCAGTCTTCAACGCTGCGAATATGGCGTGGTGGTATCTTGTGTTTGCTACGTGTATGGTTATCATCATTTCTGCCAAGCTGCCACGAGAACAATTCGTGTTGAACTCAAAAACGCAAGTGGCTCTCGAAGGCAACACAATATCCGCCACTCGAAAATTGAATTTGATGCAATGCATTCGCAAGTTACTACGACCCACGTTTCTATTTCTAATTCTCAGGCGACTTTGGAGTTCGTTGTCAAATCCGTGAAAGTTGGCGTCCGTCAAAGCCCTTTCTGTACATCGCAGCCTTCTGGGGGTTCTATAGTATGGTCATTGTCGACGTCTACGCTCGACGGATCTTTCAGACGCAGACAGTGCGAGGTTTGACGGCCAGCTCTACCCAAACGATAACGACACATCGACCTACTACATAGACAGCGGCGTTTCTGGGTCCCTTCGTGTCGTCGGGTCTTGTATGTTTACGGTAAGAACATGCCGGTGATTGTCTTTACGATGATTTCTATCGTGTACGTGCTCGTGGTAAGTCGATACATTAATTCGGCAGGACAGTGGGGACTCCTAGCGCTGTCCAGCGCCAGTATCGTGTTGAAATTGTCGCTGCAGGAAGTGGCCAAGTACATGATGATTGTGGTGCGTCGACCAGTGTCCAGACGAGTGATGGTGGCTCTCGTTTCCACGCCGACGATTCTCGTAGACACTCAAGTTCGCATCTTGCTACTGCGACAATCTAACTTGAATATTTCAATCGCTGGCACCGTTTTCATCGCATTCTTCGAAATTGTCGTACGAGCCACGAAATCGACGATAGTGCAGCGGCAAACTCGAGAGCCCTCTCTGACAAGGAAATCTCAACGTCGATCCCTTGTGGGTCAACACAAGCTAACGCATGTAAACGCTAGTGCATGTACAAGCCAGCCGAAATGCCGATATTGGAGAACGTCAACATGGCCAGGAAGAAGATCAGGAACGGGTCGTTCTGGTCGAAGCTCTTAAACTCGACTCCACGTGTGGCTTCCAGTACGCAAGCGAGGAAATCAACGACGACCTCCACAGTCATCTGAAGATACCCCAGATTCACCAGTTGTGCGTCTCGAGAGGAGGCTTCGGCTTCGGTAGCGTTACAGGCGTGTTCACACAGCGAGAGACTGAACTCGTACTGCGGGTGATGTCGAAAGAAAAAGAGCATGACGAACGAACAGCCGATGGCTATGTACTCGGCGTACATGTCGGCATAGATCTCTCCTGCATGCAGCACTCGGATCTTGCGTCGTCGCTCCGTGGCGTCTCTGCGTTCCTTATATTCCGTCGCTGTCTCGCCAGTTGACGTCCGTACTTCTCGCTTGGATGACATTGTCTTGAACACAGGCGCTAACCGTCTAGAGCCACGGAGCCCACCCGGGAAAGAGTTTACAGAGGTTGTGTGGGTCTTGAGCCACACTCATCAGCTGTTTCACTTGTCCTTCGATGCTCAACGCACTGCCGTTAGGGTCTTCGTATCCCTCGAGTTTTTGCTTGACTCGAATCAACGCTCGAGCTGCAGCATCAGTACCACCAGGCTCCGCGTGCATGTCCTCCTCCAGTTGTCCGTCACTTGTACTGATAGTTCCATTGGAGCTACTATTCCGACTCGAGCTCCGCGAGTGCATAGCCTTTGATCCTTGTTCTCCTCCTTGAATCCGCAGAGCTTTCAACGGCGACAACGTCCATCGATACAGCGGATCGTGCACAAAAACCTCGAGGATCGTGACAACAGAGGCACTCTTCTTGCGCAACAATTGCAGCGTGACTTCACAGCATCGAGAGAACACGCCGTCCACTCCAGATACGCCCATACCGTCCACCATATCGCGTGTGAGTCGGAAAGGCACCGTCTCAGGAGTATACAGAGCCATCCCCTGGTCAAACACGACACCAAAGTCGATGTGTACGAGCTCTCCAGTCTCTTCATGGATCAGAATATTCTGCGAGTGACGGTCACCAATACCCAGAATATAACCCACAATGGACGTCACTGCGGCACTCTGCACATACGCCAATCGACGACGATACCACACGGCAGCATCAGGGAAATTCTCCAAGAAGAAATGGTGAAACACTGGCGTGAAATTCTTCTGGATCTCCATATACGCCGCCAGTTTATCGGGTGCATTCTTCAGAAAATGACGACACTCGCTGTGTTTCAATTCGTGAGGATGATACCGTTCATGAGCCGACAATCGTTTGGACGTTCGATTGACTAGATACGACCCCCACGGGATCGTATTCTCCACCCACTCCAGCACACCTGCGATAGGAGATAGCGGCACAACTCGGTAGGTGCGTAGTCGTAGCTTTCGAGTACGCGTGGCTTTCTCCTCGCTCAGAAACTGGTTCATTGTCTCGAACACTTGTTCGATCACCAGGTCTTGTCGCGTATCGTCTTGGCCTTTCACTAGTTGTTTGTAGCGCTTGCCATCCGAACCGTAGCAATAAATGATCTTCGGACGGTGAATACCACTATCTGTGATGGAAAACTGGGGCTCGAACGAGTGCATTCGCGCCACATTCGAGTAGTCCAGGTCAGCTTGAGGGGCGATAGTGGACGTCAGCACTGCCGGCATAGCCACAGACTCGCCACGTCGCGCACGAACGCGAAGACACTGATCGAACGGCGTCCCTCCTGATCTTCCGGAGTTGGTCTCGAATATGTTGACTTTGGACAGAGGAATCTTCTTCTTCTGGCCGTGATGCGCACTCGTGTCAAACAACGCTAACTGAACGTACGCGTTAGCCATGCTGTCGAGTGACTCCAGCAGTTCCCGCTGCTCTGTCGTCCTCAATTCCGTCAAATAAACTTTCGCGCCTTCCGCTAAATTGTCTCCAACATTTGTTCGGAACTGCAGCGCACCTTTGCCTTCCACATCTCCGCTGTTCTTTAATGCAATGAGCTGTACCAGAGTGTGATGAGGATGCTGTACACTCAGCTTCATCACTAGTTTACGGAGAGCTGTTTGGAACGTGCCAGTGTCACTGGAACTGCTGATACGCGAGATAATTTGGGTACGACAGAGGCACGAGCTTGTACGACGGGACCATGTCGATGATGTCCTCGATGAACACGCGATTGATATCCGCTTTGCGCTGGTTATTGAGCCACAGCGACAAGACACGAAAGACCATGTCCAGTTCAGCTTGTGACGATAGCGTCAGCCCTTTGCCGTAGCTACACAGAGCGCCAATGAGGAATTGATCCACGGACGCCTCCACTTTGGCCCGCTCGTTCATATCGTGGACAACTTCTTTGTTCAGCGCGTGAATATGCGCTCGGTTCTCATTCTGCATCTTCTGCTCCATCGTTTGTAGTTCTTGTAGCTCATCGTGTCGAGCTTTGACCACCCTTTTACCGGCTAGCCACTCCCGAGACGTCACTCGAGCACTCACCTGCTGGTACATGGCAGCCATGAACTCTGCCAACGCGAAATGAGCCTTTGCTGCATCTCTTGATCGCTCTGCGATCGCCTCGGCGTCCATATTGCTGATAATGTCCGTCGCTTTGGTGAAGAAATCCTCGAGAATCACTTGCGAGCTCTCCGAGCGTTGACATGCAATCCACTTGCCTGTAATCGTCAGCACCTTCACTTGTAGCAGCAGCAACGACGTCACTTCAGTCGCAGAGAGCGTGGAATCGTGTAGATGTGAAGCCAAGTCGGCGGAGATCTTCTTGCCTGTCCAAATGGCACTACGAGACTCTTGTTGCTTCCACATGAATTTGGCCTTCTGTATCCGCCACTGCATCGTCTCGTAGATACTCAACGAGCCACGTGTCTCAAGCTCTTCGAGCTTCATCAAGGCTCTGTAAGCCACGGCTGTCCGTCCAGCTTTACGACTGAGTGAAGCCAGATTCAGATACACCTTCGTGATCACTTGAGCGGCGTCGACCGGCTTCGAGACTTGAAGGAGGATTTCTTCCAGTGCCAACAAACTTTCCGCCTTGTCAAAGTCGTTCTTGATCTGTCCGCGTCGTTGTCGCCATCGTTCCAGCAACGGCATCGCGGTCAAAGCTTCGACTCGAGAGACGACTAACGCTTCGTCCAGTGACGAATACGGCCGCAAGCCTGTTATGCTTGTAGTCGCGCGGATGCACGAAGCTCGAGTCGCTTTTAACGCTCGAACTGCCTTCGCTAGCTCTTCGATCTCGTGAATCGCCTGAAGATCCACCAGCGCCGAGTACGAATCCTTGGTGCTTTCAAACGAATGCAAACTCAGTTGCACAGACTGCAAAATCTGCTGTTTGGCGTCTGTCGTCACGCGTTGCAAGTGCGTAAAATCCCCGTGAGCTATGGCTCGCAAGCTCTGATAGATCGTATGTTGCTGTGAGAAACTCGTGCTCCACGACGGCAGAACAACTTCCCATTGCAAGCTTTTCCACGCGAGTTTGTACTTGTTCTCAACCGCTTGGGCAGACGCAGAAGCCGGACGCACGCCGTGTTCGTTGAGCTGTAGAGACTGCAGATAACCTGCCAGTAGATGGTTGTACCCAAGCGAATGCAGAGACGTCAGGATACCTTCCACAAGACGAGGCGGGTTACTATTCCCCACCTCGTCGCCGGTCTGCTGGCTTGAGAACTGCAGTGAGACATCGTAAAGTGGAAGAGCTTTGGCGTACTCGCCCTCGCGGTTGTACTTCACCAGCTGAGACTTCATGGTGCGTCCATCGTTGACCCCGTAGATACCGTCATCGTCGCTATCAAAGCTGTAGGCCTCCACCAGAATCTCACGGAGAGTAGTCCCCACTTCGTCGTTATCTAACGAAGACAGCGACGTGATTTTCCCTCCGTTCTTCTCTTCCAGCCACATCTCGGCGTATTGCATCGCTGAGTACGGCATCTTAACTCTCACCGCAGCCTTCGCAACAGCCAGGAGATCCACATCAACCAAACAACCATACGCCAGATCGTTACTCGGTTGTTGCTTCGAGACTTTTGTCTTCCCTGATTTCTGCTGACCTCTGCCATTCGTCTCCACAAACCGAGCTTTGTCTGTCTCTCGGAGGAAATTGATGCCGTGAACAACAAGCTGCACAGCTTCCAGTGGCTGCGGATTGCTTGGTTCTCTCGTTGATGAACCGCTCTTGTCAGTTGAACCAGTTAAGACAAATCTCACACCTTGGTTCGCTATCTTCGATATCCGACACAACGCCTCCTTCCCAGGACTGTCCTCCTTCGTCTCGTCATCTTCGTTCTTGCCATCGTCACGTATCCTCAGAATGCTATCGAGCGCGTATGGGAATAGGAAAACGGCCCAGTCAACACGCACGGCACACAACGCAGAGCAAGCTTTCAACATCGGATCGCAAGACTCTCTGGTCAAGCACGCAGTTAAGGAGCAAACCCATGCTGCGAAGCCCAGCTCCTCTGCAGATGTCCAAAGCTCCAGAAATTGTCGCGACGTGCGCTTCGGCTTTACCTCCCAACCTGCCCCGTAGTGTGGAGCTGCCGAAGACCAGTTGGAAGGCGACGAGCTTACAAACGGCTCCAAGAACGCCTTGAGTTCCCCATCTTTGCTTCGAGCTAACGCTGCCACACCCACGTCGACACTGAGCACGTTCTTCAAGGTCTTCAACGTTTCCTCCAGTACTGTCGGATCGACAGTTCCAGACCTCGCTCCCTCGAAAAACAACGAGCTCAAATACACGAGCACGTTCTCATGCATCACCAAAGAGTACGTCGTCTTCATCTCTCGAAGTGCACCTCGACGGAAGTGTCTTCGATACAAGCGTGACAGATCCCCGTCCTGTTCCGAGGGACTGAGCTCGTACTCGCTGGCGTCCAGTGCTCCAAGTTCGCCCAACGCATCTGCCAGACTCGCCATGCCTTCTCCACGCTCGCAGTGTTCGCTGCCAAAGGTACCCGACAAGCTCAAATACAGCAGAGTATGGGCCAGTTTCCCGTACAACTTCCTCGCAGGTTGACTGGAATCTCGTACCGTGTCGATGCTCGAAGTGACAGCTGACAAACGCACATCCGTCACGAAACTGGCTGCAGTTTGAGTGGAAGCTTTGACGATCGCCTTGTCAGAGATCACATTAAACGGCAGCGGGTTGTAGAACTTGGCTCCACGCACTTGTTCCCTTTGAATGAACATCTGGATCTGCTGTTTCGCTCGGTTCCGTCTGCCTCCACTCAATGGACGTGGCACATTGGTTTTGCCTTCTTTCCCACTCGCCTCGGTCGAAACAATCTTCCTACTGTTGATAATCAACGCGTTCAGCTTGTCCAGACTCGCTGAAATACCATCCGGGACGATGTCAATATCAAGCGCATATTTGCCGAGTCCACTTCCCAAGTCATTGCACACAGCAAAGATAACCCACTCCAACTCTGCTTGGTCGTCTGCGCTCAAACAAAGTCGTGTCTTGTGCTCGGTAGGCGCGTTACACTTGGATAAAATGCCGCTGATCTCCTGTACGACAAAGCCGAGATACTTTCCGAACATGTCTGCGCTCTTCATGCAGCTCTCGCAGCTCTCCCGAACAAGTAGAGACAGCACGTGTCCGATCCTTTGACGACTCCGGACAGCCAAGTGTTTGATTGACTGAAAACAGATCGACAGCAGGAGATGCTGTAGCAAAGGGCTCTCCGCCACAGCTTCACGCGTCTCCACGACAAAGATCTTGAAGCAATCCACTGCACATTCCGCGCTCGGGTCGTACAGTTCAGTGCGTAGTAAAAGCACGTAGAACTCGCTCAGTAGATCGGCCATATTGATCAGCTTCCAGTCAAACTCGGAGTATTTTTCTTTCATGGCTTTCAGCGCATCTTTCCACAATTCACTTTGAGTAATGAGCTTTTCCTCGTTCCCCTGAATGATATCCCACACCGTAAAGCGCGCCATCTTGCTCGCAATATGTCCAAGATGCGACAACGACAGCGTCCCCGCTTGTGCTCTCTCCTCTGCGACGTCAATCATCTGCTGCGCCAGTTTCTTTAGCTCTGGGTCTGGATGCGCCAACAAGATGAACGAGTAGGCGAATAGATCCGTCGTCAACTGCGCGCCAACCTCTGAGATCACATGCTCAGACTGTCTCTCGTTATCAGCCGAGAAGCACGATAGCAGCTCATCTACAAACCCGAACTGGCCGCCCTTAACGTCGGAGCGATCGCTCGAGATGAAGCTGTGCAGCACACCAATAGGAATGATCATGTCCAGTTTCTTCACAAGTTGCGCTCGTTGAGCGTTCACGTCAAGCTCTTCGCCGAGCAGAGTCGACAGCGGGAACTGTAGCAGCAGAGATTTGCCGTCAGGAAGAGGAGCTAGTGGGTCGGTCTTCATCCACTCGGTCCCGTCTTCTTCATCGTTTTGGGGAGCTCTTCGATGACTCGAAGTTATAAAGCGATGCCACAGATGGCAGAAGTGATCGTCCAGCAAGTCTGACACGCTTGCGTATCCGTAGAACAACGCGATCGCTTTTAGCCACTGAGAGACCAGCGACGGGGTTCCGACGCCGTACAGCGACACTGTCGTTGATGCCATCTCCACACAAGCGTTAAGCACTTCAGGAAGCGCAGTCTGGGACGAGCACGCGCTCACGTACAAGCTCAGCAACACAGGTAAGCACTTGTCGATACACAGTCGAGGGTCGAGACTGCCTTGCCGTGCGTGTATCTGCTCTCCATCGACTGCGACTACGTTCTCATTTGTGTTTGCGGGTGCGTCTAGCAGCGACTCCTGCACTTGGACGAAGTGTTTACAGATCTTCTTGCCGCCTTGTGGATACATATAATACACCGTCTGAAGACCGCGCGCCGCGATAGAACGCACACTCGTGTCGCTGTCAGTCAAACCATCCACGCATAAGTCCTCAAAGACACTAAACTTCCGCGAATGGAGACGGAAAAACACCTCCAGACACTGCAATTCCGACCGACGAGCCATCCGTACACTCTTCCTAAGTGTCAGATCGCTCATAGACTTGAGATGCTTCTTCGCGCACTCCACTAAGGCCGCAGGAGGCTGCTCGTCGTGCTGATACTTCCGCGTCTCATGTACCAACCCGGAGAGAAGTAGAACAGACAGCACTTGAGAGAGGAAGATTGCTGCTCTGCAACTGCCTCCACGTGTGGTTGACAGCGTGCCGTTGTCTCGCATGCCTTCGTCAGCTGCATAGTCAATCAGTGTGACGAATGCTTCGAGGCTGTCGGAGCCAGTCACGCCACACAGCAGAACTGCCACGGCCAGCACAAAATCGGGGTCAAACTGAATCGCCTGCACATGCTTCTTCACTGACGAGAGTCCGCTGTCCTTTTTGAGAAGCAAGATCACGCGGAAAGACCACAAGCCAATGGTCTTTTGAAGCACACGACTTGGAGAACGGTCACGCGCAATGTCGTCTTCCTCTCTACAGTGGGGCATACAACAGCGAGGTTAGATGGAACGACAGCACAAGTGTCTTCTTTCGTACCCGTCGTCCATGACATCCCAGTCTCTTTGTGTCGGCTGGCTTGGGTGCTGTGAAGTGGTTTGGCGGTTAGCTGTGGACTCCCAGCGAGACGTGCGAAGCGAGCTGAAGCCAGTACGCGGACGAGACAGCGTCGGCGTCGGAGGGTTACTTGGAGTGTCGCCACCGCCACTGAGAGACGCTAGGGATTCCTCTAACATACTGACGATAGCTCTAATCGATGGACGGAGATCTGGCGGCGTGCGTAACTCGATCGGATCTGCTGATGGATGATGGCACTTCGCTAGAGTTTCTCGCCCTTGGGAGACCAGGATGACTGTGTGCAGCTTTCTTAACGTATGCAGCACGCTCTCCGACATCGACTGGCTTTGCTGTGCTTGCTTGATCACGCTTGGCTTCAAATAACTTGCAACGATCTCAAAGAAATGTTTGAGCATCGGCAACACACGAAGACGATTCTCCTTCCGCATGGAGCTATCCGAGCCACCTTCAGCGTAGAGTGCAGCAAGAACGAGGCCAACCTAAGAATCAACAACATTGATATCGTTAGATCGAGCATACGACAGCATTTAACTCTCCCATCGACCCTTACATCCAGTGAGTTTGAGAGCACCCGCAAGCCTTTAATCGGGTTGCAGCCATTAGACGGCAACTTGCTCGAGATTTCCGACAGCAAGTCCGAAAACGAATCGATGACATTCGTTTGAAGCGCTGTCGCTCGCTCGGTCGAGATTGACTGAGAATAAGCAGTACTACAAACACAGTCACGAGACAGCATGCGGTTTGAATCTTGTGGTAGGATCAGCTTCTTCATCAAACCAGTCGGCACAGCAAGTCGCTTAAACTGGTCTTCAGTTCTCGTCGCACATGATTTAACTCCGTCGTGCCAGCTTGCGTCACCCGATTCAACATTCTCGCCAACAAACGCGTGAGTTGCGGCAGAAAATGCTGAAGGTTTGACACCCGTCGACTGTGGGAAAGCCATGGAGAGATGATCTAGTCCCGTTTCAAGCATACAGAACGCCACGCCAAAGCCATTGAGCTCCTCCCCAGTGACGAAGCTGTCACACTCGTCGACATTTCTCGCAGACAGCTTGCGAATCAATTCAGGCGTGAAAATCGTCTCTCTTGTGTCCATCGACGAGTTCTTGTGTCCAAAGAATGACTGGATGACCCAAGCGTAGACCAAGGAAGACATCTCCGTCTGCCAATCCACTTTGGTGAGCGAATTCGTGGACTTTCCTGCCATCGTTGTGTTCCCACGAAAGACTTGAGCTCGTAGATGATCAAATACTGATCGAAGAAGCCTCGTCTGCACCGACTCATGCTCGCTTCTGAAGATTTCTTCGCCAGCAGATAACAATTCAGGTCCTTGCGATGAAGTTGCGGGCGAGTTAGCTCCCGCTGGTACTTGTACGTGACGCAGCAGGGAGAGCAACGTGCAAACGGAAGCCATCGACGTTCTTGCATAAGGCCTCATCCGATCTCCACGAGACACAGGAGTGTCAGCGCTTGGCTGTCGAAAAGCAGGTAAATTCCACAGTACTGTGCTACTAGCTTCGATGATATTTTCCGAGACAAGCCCGAAAGAAATACAGCAATTGATCAGCGTGAGCACAGCGTCGCCAGCTTGACCTCGCATCAGTCCAATCCCCTCCGTAACGCGGGTGTATGGCAGCTCGGGACGAAGCAAATTGCGCCACACACTCGCCCAATGCTCGTTCAAGTTCCCATCACACCCTTCGCGATGTCTAGCCGAGAGAGCAGCCAGTTGGATTAAGATCTGCAACGTCAGTGCTTGCCACTTGCCCATTTCCTTGACGATCAGCATATCGCTGAGCTTCTGCATGACCATCATTAGATCTCCAATGCGATTACGCACGTAATAGTCGCCGTGACGACTTAGAATTGACAGGAGCAAGAGCAGCCAGGAGCCCGAGTCGTTGATCTGCTTCGCTTCAGTCCGCTGAGTCTGGGACGAGCCTCTCGATAAATACGATACCGTTGATGAGTGTCGTTGAGACGCAGGGGAAGCTGAACTCGCTGTCATCAGCTGCGTATCTGTCCGTGGACTGTCGTAGAACTGCTCGATCACAGTCTCCCACGCTAGAGCAGTAGAGATGGATCTCGGACGCTTGCTCCCTACCACAACTGGGTCAAACAAGTCCTCCTCTTGCGTAAAAGACCCACTCGTCTGCATCTGATCCGATACCAAGCAATCATGGTAGAAGATGATATCTGCTGTGCACGCCAAATGCCTTATCCCTTGGTCGTCGATACCCAGCGCATTGCCCAGGCGCTGTTCTCTGGCTGAATTAAAGTGAGTCATCAACAAATTGATCTCATCAGTCCCCATCGCCACTTGAACCACTTTCTTCATCTCACGCAGGAGTTTAGCAGGAGGCAAATAGCAAAATTCCGGCTCTGGAGCCTCGTTATGGCGGTACAGCTCGAAAAACAGCATTAGAAACTCCGCTGGAGCTCCTCGTAGTCCGTTCTTCCTAGCTTTATTCGACTTGACAATAAATTCCAGTATCGTGACTCCACGCTTTAATAAATAAGGCCCCATAGATCCGAAATACGTCCTCATGAGGTCCGTCAGCGTCTCCAGCAGCGTCGACGCAATTACCAGCAATAAACTATCGGCGTCTCTCTCCATTGACTCGCCTTTACCGGCCTCAAACCAGTTCTCAATCTCCTCCACGAGGCCTGCCAGCACGTCTCCGTTCAAGTCAAACGGACAGTTTCTCACTAAGAATCTGATGACTCTGGCTCGTGTGGCTGCGGTGTCTACATCTCCGATCAAATTTGCGTCGAATTTAGGGCTAATACTGCCCAGAGCGAGCTGCAGCATATTTTTCCAGTCTTTGTAGTCCAGTACGGCACAATAGACGCGATATTGCACTAGAACCTCCACTGTGAGCCACGCTTCCTTGTCCACGAGCGTCTCGAAGCTTCGGTCGAACTCTATGGGCGTCTGACGGTCTATTATTGCAACCGAGAAGGTGAATAACTGGCAGATACAGTCCCTGCCATTAGGGTCCAAGTGCAACATGGGTCCGTCCGCTGCTACATGCGCCGTCTCCAGCTCCGTGCGCAGGTAGTGCCAGTAGCGCAGCTGCGGCATCTTAGGGCGTGCACTTGACTTACGCTTGCGACCGGCGCCTCCAACGTTTAGATACACGCGCATTTCCTCCTTAAGCACATGTAAGAGGCAGTTGAGCAAAAAGCCCCAACTACGCCAGCGATGCACGAGCTGGCGGCTGCGGTCGTCACTCAAGAAGGACTGTAGCTTCTCCACGGCACTCGCCACGCCCTTGGAGTTCTTGACGCGGCGCAATTCGTTGCAAAGCATCGAGAACTTGCGCCATTCGGCGTCGCGCTCCGAGCTAGTCATTGCGGATGGGTTTGTTGAATGCGGAATCAGTTGGAGAGCATTCACTACAGTTGGCGAGCAGTCACGACAGTTGGAGAGATGTCATTTGGTTTAGAAACGTGCCGATCAAGTGTTTCAAATGACAGTCGAGTGACGTTTTACCGTCATTTTTCTAAACCAATTCGAGCTTCCTTCATAAGCAGCATTTGCGTCAGCTGTATTGCTTACTGGTTCCTTCTCCTTCATCTAGCATCAATATCCTATGGTGGTCCCAACAGCAACTACAACTAAAGAGCAAAACCCTGCGAACTAGCTCCGAATCAACAATCCATCGCAGAGTCGACTCTGTTTACTGCAGGCCGAGCAGCACACCGCCGTTGCCACCCTCCTGGTTGGGCAGGTACGTAACGTTGCGCGACTTGGCGAGCGTCTCAGCGATCTCACGGGCGGCATCAATACGCTGCACCTCAATGAAACCAGATCCGCTCTTGGAGACGGCATCGGAAACGAGACGAGCAGCCTCAGACTCACCCTCGGCCTTGATAACAGCAGCCTTACGCTCCTGCTCAGAGCGCATGACGACGAACTTCTGACGCTCAGCGTCCTGCTGAGCCACCTGCTTCTGCTCGACGGCACGCGTGAACTCCGGACCGTACTCCAAGTGGGTGATGGACACATCATCCAGCAGCAGGAAGAAGTTGCGGCAACGGTCGTTCATTTCCTTGGCAATCTGAATTGACACCTGGTCACGACGAGCCAGCAGCTCCACGGCGTCGTACTGGGCCACGATGGACTTGAGCACCTCGTTACCCACGGACGGCAGGATCCGGTCGGCGAAGTCGGGGCCGTACTCGGCGTAGATGTGCGACAGCTTGTCGGCATTTGGTCGGTACAGACAACGCAGCGAGATGTTGACGTTCTGCAGGTCCTTGGTTCCGGTGCGCGAGCTGATGAGACGGTAGTTGGAGCGAACGTCCAAGATCGTAGGGTACTGGAAGAAGGGGATCTTGAAGTGCGTACCCTCGCCCACAGACTTGTCCAGGATACCGTCCTTGCGGTCGAAGATCACAGCGCGGTGGCCGCCGTCCACTATAGCATTAAAAACAGCACACAATCAGTTAGAAATTGGACTACGTGGAATAAGTTTCTCGCTTCGTCAAGCGATCTGTAGCGAAAATAAAGAACAACAGTCAGAGGAAGCCCAGACGTACCGTCGTAGATGCACTCCTGGAGGCAGAAACCGCCAAAGCCGATGGTAGCGCCGATGCCGGCCACGCGGTTGAGGAATCGAGCCGCCATGTTAACGTGTCTGTTCTGTGGCTATGGGGGAACTTGAAATGGTGGGAGGCTCTGAATGGAGCACCGTTATGGAGTGGGCCACACTGACAGAATCGGAATGATTGTGTTGAGCTTCTTAAATAGAATAGGAAAGTCAGTTACACGGGCTTTCCGTTCTTTCCGGTGGTGTGGTCCACACCTCGCTGGCTTCAAAGCCACGCGATTACTGAAGTTGTATTTTACTAGCCGAGCGCCGCCGCTACGCGGCGGTAATTTAGGTTTTACTCTAGATTTTTGCCTTCCCGCCTTCGCTTCGCTTTGGCGGGATAATTAGTCCAAATCCTCTGAGTCCCCCATGTGCCTAAATCGACTTCTTTAATTTCATAAATCTGCGTTTCTTTTGCTACAAATTGCTGAGCTCCCAGTAAGCCGTGTAAATATTTCTACCGGTACAAAAGACTGAGACCCTAGCATCATACTTACCATGCTCATAAACGATTACGCTAGTGATCTTGGCAAAGTCTCTTTGTTGTTGTTGGCGATCACTGTACCTTAATCTTCCACCCAGAAGCACCTGCACTTCAGTCTAAAAACGCTAAATAATATATTTAGTTTAGCGTCGTGATCGATTTCACGGGCCGTTTCTGAAACCTAGATTGCAACAATGCAAAGAATATCTGTCCAGCTTGCATCAAATACTCGCTTGTACTGCCTGCTTAAGCTTGTAATAAACTGACTATTAACCACTTCGCATACCAAACTCGCTACTTTGAAAGAAAATTAAAAGTGTAACAGTTGAATATTTTTATAAAAATATTCAGGCTGTAGCATTTTCTTATGCATTGAAGTGTGTTCATTTTGTGCTGATTCAGAATTAGTCATTAGACACATCTGTGCCTGTTATGGTTATACATGCCTGTAGCCTTTGGATATAACGATGCGTCGCACGACGCCTTTTGTTGACGGCGGTATTTTTATTTGATACTTAAACGATGATTCCAGGGTTAAACGTAGATTAGGCTCTAAGTTGATTAACGTTTCTTTACGGGCCTACTTATAATAACCATAATTTACACCTCTCATGTTGTGTTGTTATCTTACCGCTGCATGTAAAACCTTATTCTACGCCTTGTCGGCAACGCGTCTGCCTATTAAGAAGTATCAGAATTTTGTTGTCTACATAAATGCTTAGGAAACAATACAGTAGTAATTGTCATCAGCACATATTACTTTTTTTCCACGTCAATCTAAGCTATCTATCTTTGTGGATCTAGTGACAACGTTTATAAGCACAGCTTTGCTCTTACGGCAAGCCCACACGACCGGCTACTGCTGTACATGTAACATGTACAATTTAGCAATACCAGAAACCCACTCAGATAACTTATTATTAATAATGCTAATATCTTTACAATAAAAAATTGAAATTATCATTTTAGTCAGTGTAACTCGCAGATCCTACTGAGTACAGAGTATTTAGTATACTTAAACCATGTCCTCGGAAACACGCATGCTTACGTGTACGCTAAGCACCCTGCCCTCCCTTTAGTACTCAAATATCAATGCATTATGAAAAAGTATAAAATATTAAAACGATGCCGCCTTCGGATAATGTATTAGCTTTGTGCAAATCCCCATATGTTAGCTGGGAAACACATGCATTTATTGATGTCAACTACACATTCTAGTTTTAACCAATTGAAGCCACCTTCGCTGCGCTCGGCAGCCAGTAGGAATATTTAATTTATTTTATCCAATGATTTGTCCGGAAAAGCGTGACAGGCACGACAATTTAGTGTGACGGACAGACAGGTTGCTGCAGTAGATGTTTAAGACTAGCCGCTCGCCGCCGCTACGCGGCGGAGGTGGCAGGTTTTAGTCCAAGGCGGAATGGGCTCCCGCCTTCGCTACGCTCCGGCGTAAACATGATTTATGTAAACGTGATGTATTAAATGCATATGAAATTGAACATTCCTACTCTCAACCAAAGATCTGCCTGTAGACAATGTTCTGGGCGTAGACCCCATCCTCCTCCTCCAGCTTTGGGTACTCGACCAGCGCCTTGAATCTTGATCTTGAAGTAACTCGCGACATCGCAACGTACAGCTGCCCGTGGGAGAAGCAAGGCGTAGCAAGATACAGCCCCAAGTACTGCACCGTTTGTCCTTGCGCCTTGTTAATCGTCATCGCAAAGGCCGGTTGGACAGGAAACTGCCTGCGTCTCAAATGAAACGGAAAGCTCCGTATGTCTCCGTCACTGATGAAAACAATGCGGGGAATCAACACATGTTGCCCTTGTCGCTCACCTGTCATGATTGTGGCGTGGATGACATGTGGCTTGAGGGCCACAATTCGAAGCCGTGTTTCGTTGCACAGCCCTAGATCTGGATTCAGGTTTCGCATCATCATGATAGGCATTCCTACCTTGAGGGTCAGCTTGTGGGGCGGCATTCCACTGATATTCATCGAGTGGAGTACCTCCTGCTCGAAGAAATTGCCATCACCGTCGTCTTGTACAGAATCGGAAGACATGTATTCCCGCGCCTGTCCAGTTAATCGATCGGTCACCGCTTCATTGATGCGGTGCACGATTGCGTTCGTGGTCGTGAGGATCGTACGGTTAGCGAAATACTCATCGGTAGCAACTTCGGGGTTGTTAATCTCGCCATACATCACGTCGATGATCCGATCCATGCCTCTTGGAATAACACCAGGACGAATTTCCTGATCCTCATCCTCAGGCACAGGTGGATTCTCAATTAGCATATCGCGCGGGATCTTCATGTAATCGCTTCCTAGGGAAGGAGTTACATCATGTCTTCCCTCCCCGACTTGCAGCAGAAACTCGGAGAACGCAGCCATTTCCTCAGCAGTGTCTGCAGTATCAGTAGTGCGCACTCGCATGTTTTCCGTGAGACGGAACGTCTGGAATTGGGGCCACAGCCTAGACGACTTGAGGCAAGCGTCAATTGTCTCGACGGGTGTTCCATTCTTAACGACCGGGAGAATCTGGCGGAAATCTCCCGAAAGTACAAACACTTTCCCCCCAAAAGGCTCGGTATCGTTGTCAAGTATGTCCCGCAGTGTTCGGTCTACTGCCTCGAATGCGTGGCGATGGGCCATAGGTGCTTCGTCCCAAATAATTAAACTTGCATGCTTAATCAACTCCTGAATATGGGAGTTCTTCCTGATACCGCACGTCGAGCTCTCGTTCAATTTCAAAGGGATCTTGAATGTAGAATGAGCTGTCCTACCACCCATGAGCAAGAGCGAGGCAATACCGCTAGACGCCACAGCGATGGCGATTTTCCCCGAGAGTCTGACTTTGGCCAGTATGTTTCGAAGCAGTGTAGATTTTCCAGTACCACCCGGTCCATCGACAGAAAATAACTTCTTGCCTTCCTTCGGGCATTCAACCGCTTCAATAATCTGGTCGTAAACCACCCGCTGACTTTCGTTTAGCTGATCTTCTGTGTGTACAATCGCCTCCAAAGCTGACGCATCGTATCCAGTGAGCTCACGTCGAAGTAATCCGTTTTGGCGAAGCGCTTCACGAATCAATGTTGGGAGCGACCTCAACTGAGGAAGCTCGTCGAAGTCAGCTACCGCATACCCACTCGCTTGAAGTAGCTCTTGAATGCTCATCAGCGTTCCAAATTCGACCAACGCCGACTTAAAGGGGTTATCAAAGCCTGATGTTTGCGTGCGAAGTCTTGGGAAAGATCCGCGAAAAACCGATCCCATAGAACACCAACATTTGCTGGAGCTGAATACACCAGAATGGTGACGAAGAGCTGGCGTAGTTGATACGGCATTTGGAACTCAGCCGCTTCCCTCAAACACGAAACCCACTCGTTGTCATTCTCCAAGTAGCCAGCCTCCCGCGCCGCAATTTGGAATGTTGGGCAGACAATTCCGTTAACCGTTCTCAAGTCTTCAAACGACGTTGGACCTCTACGCTGACAGAGCAGTAGCCGAAGGTAGAACCGCTCCATATCTCGAGGAGACACGTGAATCATGCGACCAACGGCAGCTTGATACTGTTTCCGGCGAACCCACCTTTTCGGTTGCCCTTTCTCCGGCGCTTTCCAGCAGAACTCTTTGGGGGTATCCTGATACAACATCGTCCTGGCAATATGATTCTGAGGCTCTTCACTCGCACATAACTCAAAGAATCTGGTCAGCATCGTGTGACTACCACGTTCCAAAACCGCCTCAGGGTTTTCCGTCTCGCGAAAGCAAATTGTCTGGCCTGACTCGAGATGAACCGTTAGCTGTGTCACCGCATGGGTTTTCCCCTGAATTGTGAAATCGAGCAGGCGCATGCAAGCTTCCACCGGAGAAATGTACCGGGCGCTCAAGAAACGTAGAATCTCATTTGGCTCTCGACGCGCACTCTGCTGCCCTCCTCGGACTTCTTCCACAGTGAGTATAGCCATGTCGGGTCCTTTGTACACATACTTGTACAGGTATTTAACCGCAGTAATATCCGTGCACACTTCGACATTGATGTGGCAGTTGTACTTCTGGGATAAGTACGGGTTGTACGGTACAACCCACTGGTTGATCGTAGCATTGTCGTATTCTCTGCCTTTAAACTTTAGAACACCTTCTTGCCGTCGACGTCGTCTGTACACTGGATATCCATTGGCATTGGCTTGTGTAACTTCTGCTAAGGGCTTCGGATATCCTTTGGTGCACTTGCCGTCCTTCATACACGCGCAGGAAGGGTTTGCAAGCCCGCATGGACCATGGAGCATGCATGACATGACCGTCTCATACAGCTGAGGGTTTGTATTTTTATCTGGGATCTCAGCGCATACCATCTTGTCTACGATCTCGCGGGTTCGAGGTTTGTCTTCGTCAGCCAAAATAACCAGTACGTGGGCGTGGGGGAGGCCTCGTTTTTGAAACTCGACAACGTAAATCCGCGCGCGCACTCGTCCCAGAACGCCTTGGTTTAAATCGTCAAGGGTTGCTTGCAGTTTCTGCTGCCACACGCGAGCCACGATGTCTGGTCGATCTTGAGCTGTCTGGGTCTCGGAAG